GGGTTAAAGGTGTGCTAGAAATGACTTTTCTAAGTGTCCCATAAGCAGAAGATGATGTTGAATTAGCTGAATGTGACAGAGTTGTAGAAAGCTCTGGACAGTCACCGGCCGTGGGAAACTGGTTGTGAATTGGTTTAACATTGATAGTAAAACACAACTTTGAATGGCAGGTTGATTAATTATAATTTTTTTTATTATTTTATGTGTGTGGGTGTTTTGTTTGCATGTATACATGTATATCTGTGCACCATGTGTGTGCCTGGTACCCAAGGAGACCAGAAGAGGGCATGCATCAAATGCCCAGATGCTATGTGGATGATGGGAATCAAACCTGGATCCTCTGGAAGAGCAGCCAGTGCTCTTTTTTTTTTTGAACATAAAAACAGGTTATGGGTTGGGGAGTTAGCTCAGTGGTAGAGCGCTTGCCTAGCAAGCACAAGGCCCTGAATTCGGTCCTCAGGTCAAAAAAAAAAAAAAAAAAAAAAAAAAGACAGGTTATAATTCAAAAGTCCAGGGTTATTTGAAACTGGAAATATTTTCTCTGTAGAAAATAGTAAAAATGATAACATTTCCCAATAAGCCCTTTTAAGCCAAATAATAGCTGAATTATACATATAAATATTGATTAGATTCTGGCATACAGAAGAAACCTGTCTTCATATGTTCAGGGAGCTATGTTTTACTTAAGTAGTGTAAGTGAGATTCCTATTCATCTTCCCCTTCACTGTTTGATTTATGGCAGACATTTTTCTATAGGCTAATCTATAATCTAAAAAGATTTTAGCCTCCCCTTCTTAAAGTACGGCCAGCATTTTCTTTCATCAGCTTGATGAAAGATGAAAACAGTACAAATCCTTATCCTAATAGTGAAATGTTTCACTAAAGCATGCCCAGTGATTGGGCAAAACCAAAACTTATTATAAGCCACAGTCATCCTAGGGTCCCCCCTGCTAGGTAGCCTCTCTGGATCTGTGGGTTGCAGTCTGATTGTCCTTTGCTTTCTATCTAGTATCCACTTGTGAGTGAGTACATATCATGTTTGTCCTTCTGAGTCTGGGTTACCTCACTCAGAATGATATTTTCTAGTTCCATCCATTTGCCTGCAAATTTCATGCTGTCATTGTTTTTCTCTGCTGAGTAGTACTCCATTGTGTATATGTACCACATTTTCTTAATCCATTCTTCAGTTGACTGGCTTCTAGGTTGTTTCCAGATTCTGCAGTCAGTGTTCTTAACCACTGAGCAATCTCCCCATAACTCTTTTAAATTAAAAATAAAATAGCCTAAAACAGGATCTGGAGAGTGTTGCTTTTGTGAATATGGGTATGTTAGTAAAAAAAATAATCAGTGGATTAAAAAATAATTCCAGGGCTGGAGAGATGGCTGGAGCACTGGCTGTTCTTTCAGAGGACCCAGGTTCAATTCCTAGCACCCAGCTCAAAATTGTCTGTAAGTCCAGTTGCAGGGGATCCAACACCCTCACACAGAGTATACACAGATGAAGCACATTAAATAAAAAAAATCTTTAAAAAATTAATTACAAGCAGACACTTCACACTTCAGCAAAAAAGGTACACATGAAGTAAATAAGCACTGAAAAGATGCTCAGGGGATGGGGAGATTGATGAGTGGGTAAGGAGCTTGCTGTGTTTCTATCACCCATGTGAAAGGCTAGCATGGTGGCTCACTCCTGTACCCCTGCCCTGGGAGTAGTGTGTGATCTGGGTTCCCTGCCCTGGGAGTGGTGTGTGATCTGGGTTCCCTGCTCTGGGAGTGAGTGGTGTATGATCTGGGTTCCCTGCTCTGGGAGTGAGTGGTGTGTGATCTGGGTTCCCTGCTCTGGGAGTGAGTGGTGTATGATCTGGGTTCCCTGCTCTGGGAGTGAGTGGTGTGTGATCTGGGTTCCCTGCTCTGGGAGTGAGTGGTGTGTGATGTGGGTTCCCTGCTCTGGAAGTGAGTGGTGTGTGATCTGGGTTCCCTGCCCTGGGAGTGGTGTATGATCTGGGTTCCCTGCTCTGGGAGTGAGTGGTGTGTGATCTGGGTTCCCTGCTCTGGGAGTGAGTGGTGTGTGATCTGGGTTCCCTGCTCTGGGAGTGAGTGGTGTGTGATCTGGGTTCCCTGCTCTGGGAGTGAGTGGTGTGTGATGTGGGTTCCCTGCTCTGGAAGTGAGTGGTGTGTGATCTGGGTTCCCTGCCCTGGGAGTGGTGTGTGATGTGGGTTCCCTGCTCTGGGAGTGAGTGGTGTGTGATCTGGGTTCCCTGCTCTGGGAGTGAGTGGTGTGTGATGTGGGTTCCCTGTTCTGGGAGTGAGTGGTGTGTGATCTGGGTTCCCTGCTCTGGGAGTGAGTGGTGTGTGATCTGGGTTCCCTGCCCTGGGAGTGGTGTGTGATCTGGGTTCCCTGCCCTGGGAGTGGTGTGTGATGTGAGTTCCCTGCTCTGGGAGTGAGTGGTGTGTGATGTGGGTTCCCTGCTCTGGGAGTGAGTGGTGTGTGATCTGGGTTCCCTGTTCTGGGAGTGAGTGGTGTGTGATCTGGGTTCCCTGCTCTGGGAGTGAGTGGTGTGTGATGTGGGTTCCCTGCTCTGGGAGTGAGTGGTGTGTGATCTGGGTTCCCTGCTCTGGGAGTGAGTGGTGTGTGATCTGGGTTCCCTGCTCTGGGAGTGAGTGGTGTGTGATGTGGGTTCCCTGCTCTGGGAGTGAGTGGTGTGTGATCTGGGTTCCCTGCTCTGGGAGTGAGTGGTGTGTGATCTGGGTTCCCTGCTCTGGGAGTGGTGTGTAATCTGGGTTTCCTGCTCTGGGAGTGAGTGGTGTATGATCTGGGTTCCCTGCTCTGGGAGTGGTGTGTGATCTGGGTTTTCTGCTCTGGGAGTGAGTGGTGTGTGATCTGGGTTCCCTGCTCTGGGAGTGGTGTGTGATTTGGGTTCCCTGCTCTGGGAGTGAGTGGTGTGTGATCTGGGTTCCCTGCTCTGGGAGTGGTGTGTGATCTGGGTTCCCTGCTCTGGGAGTGAGTGGTGTGTGATCTGGGTTTCCTGCTCTAGGGGAGTGGTGTATGATCTGGGTTCCCTGCTCTGGGAGTGAGTGGTGTGTGATGTGGGTTCCCTGCTCTGGGAGTGAGTGGTGTGTGATGTGGGTTCCCTGCTCTGGGAGTGAGTGGTGTGTGATCTGGGTTCCCTGTTCTGGGAGTGAGTGGTGTGTGATCTGGGTTCCCTGCTCTGGGAGTGGTGTGTAATCTGGGTTTCCTGCTCTGGGAGTGAGTGGTGTGTGATCTGGGTTCCCTGCTCTGGGAGTGAGTGGTGTGTGATGTGGGTTCCCTGCTCTGGGAGTGAGTGGTGTGTGATGTGGGTTCCCTGCTCTGGGAGTGAGTGGTGTGTGATCTGGGTTCCCTGCCCTGGGAGTGGTGTGTGATCTGGGTTCCCTGCTCTGGGAGTGGTGTGTAATCTGGGTTCCCTGCTCTGGGAGTGAGTGGTGTGTGATCTGGGTTCCCTGCTCTGGGAGTGAGTGGTGTGTGATCTGGGTTTCCTGCTCTAGGGGAGTGGTGTATGATCTGGGTTCCCTGCTCTGGGAGTGAGTGGTGTGTTATCTGGGTTCCCTGCTCTGGGAGTGAGTGGTGTATGATCTGGGTTCCCTGCTCTGGGAATGAGTGGTGTGTGATCTGGGTTCCCTGCTCTGGGAGTGGTGTGTGATCTGGGTTCCCTGCCCTGGGAGTGGTGTGTGATGTGGGTTCCCTGCTCTGGGAGTGAGTGGTGTGTGATCTGGGTTCCCTGCTCTGGGAGTGAGTGGTGTGTGATCTGGGTTCCCTGCTCTGGGAGTGAGTGGTGTATGATCTGGGTTCCCTGCTCTGGGAGTGGTGTGTGATCTGGGTTTTCTGCTCTAGGGGAGTGGTGTGTGATCTGGGTTCCCTGCTCTGGGAGTGGTGTGTGATTTGGGTTCCCTGCTCTGGGAGTGAGTGGTGTGTGATCTGGGGTCCCTGCTCTGGGAGTGGTGTGTGATCTGGGTTTCCTGCTCTAGGGGAGTGGTGTATGATCTGGGTTCCCTGCTCTGGGAGTGAGTGGTGTGTGATCTGGGTTCCCTGCTCTGGGAGTGAGTGGTGTATGATCTGGGTTCCCTGCTCTGGGAGTGAGTGGTGTGTGATCTGGGTTCCCTGCTCTGGGAGTGAGTGGTGTGTGATCTGGGTTCCCTGCTCTGGGAGTGGTGTATGATCTGGGTTCCCTGGCCAGCCAGTCTAGCCGGGTTCAGCTCCAGGTTCAGTGAGAAACTCTGTCTCAACACAACAAGGTGGAGACTGGCAGAGAAAGAAACCAGCGCCTCTGCCCTCCACACACCAAAGCACTGGCATATGTATGTACCTGCACACATGTACACACATGATCCTCAGTATAAATATGAGGCAATTGCAAATTAAAAATTAAAACTGCAAATTAAAATAGCAATGTGCTAACATTCTACATTCCTAAGACTGGTGAAAATTGCTGGGCGTGGTGGCACCCAACTTTAATCCCAGAACTCAGGAGGCAGTATGTTCCAGGACAGACAGGACTACCTAGAGAGACTTAAAAAGGTGAAAATTGGGGCAGGAGGGACGGCCCTTGCTGCTCTTGGAGAGGACTGGAGTTTGGTTCCCAGTGCCTACATCAGGCAGCTCACAAGTGCCTGGAACTTCAGCCCTAGAGGATCAGATGCCCTCTTCTGGCCTCTGTGGGTACCTGCACCCATGTGCACATTTCCCCACACCCACATACACATGTAATTAAAAAGAAAATCTTGCCGGGCGGTGGTGGCGCATGCCTTTAATCCCAGCACTCGGGAGGCAGAGCCAGGCGGATCTCTGTGAGTTCGAGGCCAGCCTGGGCTACAGAGTGAGTTCCAGGACAGGTGCAAAGCTACACAGAGAAACCCTGTCTTGAAAAACAAAAACATAAAAAGAAAGAAAATCTTCCAGATAGGGTTTCTCTGTGTAGCCCTGGCTGTCCTTGAACTCACTCTGTAGACCAGGCTGGCCTTGCTCTCATAGATCCACCCGCCTCTGCCTCTCCAGTGCTGAGATTAAAGGTGTGCACCACCATCCCTGGACTTAAACTTCCCGTTTCTATCTTTGTTTGTGACGTTGTGACAGATGTTTAATGTAATTGCTGTTTAGGTTGGTTATTTACTTGTTTGTTTGAGCTACATTTGAACCTCATGTAGCTCACACTGGTCTTGAACTTGCTACACGTAGCTACTTGTGGCATTGTATGTCTTTAATCCCAGCACTCAAGAGGCAGAGACAATGGAATCTCTGTGTTTGGGGGTAGCCTGATCTACACAGTGAGTTCCAGGCCAACCAGGGCTACATAGTGAAACTCTGTCTAAAATAAGAACAAAGTAAGAAAGCAAAAACAAAAACAAAACCGTCAAGATGAGGATAGCATCTGGGATTACTTCTTTGAGATCTTAACACATGTGAATGGTGTTTTGTCTGACATATGTCTGTGTACCGATTATGTGCCCGGCCCACGGAAGCCAGACGCGGGAACTGGAGTTATAGATGGTTGTGAGCCATGGATGCTGGAAATTGAACCCGAGTTCTCTTCAAGAGCAGTGTTCTTAACCACGGAGCCGCTCCAGCCCCAAATGCTGCACCTCTGTTCTTGCAGACTCCCGGACTCGACAACCTCACCGTGGCTCGCAGGAACTACCCAGCCTGCTCTAGCCAGCTTCAGTCGTTCTGGTTCTGGGCTTCTGAGCTGAGCTGGGTCCAGCAAGTACACACGCGGAGGCTCCTCCCAGCCATGTTTTGAATTGGCATGGCTTTCTCTAATGGGATGACCCTGGCTAAAGAGATTAACAGCTGCGTTGTGGATCCCACTCTTAATCCGCAGTGTTCCGGCTCTCCCTCCTTGCCTGGGAAGGACGCAGCAGAGACCTAGACAGCTCCCACTACCATTACTGAGTTAATGGGGATCCTAGGCTAGGGAGGCCCCAGAGATGGGCACCTCCCTGCAGCTTGGGCCCACGGTGCACTTCCTAAGGCCCTGAGTGGTCTAGCCCCTGACCTCACTCGGGTTAGGAGTGGAAGCGGAACTGTGGGAGGCTGCCTGGACCCCACTCGGTAAGCATGGCGCTGCTCAAAGTCAAGTTTGACCAGAAGAAGCGGGTCAAGCTGGCCCAGGGGCTCTGGCTTATGAACTGGCTGTCCGTGTTGGCCGGCATCATCCTCTTCAGCCTGGGGCTGTTCCTGAAGATTGAACTCCGCAAGAGGAGCGAAGTGATGAATAATTCTGAAAGCCACTTTGTACCCAACTCCCTGATCGGGGTCGGGGTGCTGTCCTGTGTCTTCAACTCGCTGGCTGGCAAGATCTGCTATGACGCCCTGGACCCTGCCAAGTACGCCAAGTGGAAGCCCTGGCTGAAGTCGTACCTGGCCGTCTGCGTCCTCTTCAACGCCCTCCTCTTCCTCGTGGCTCTCTGTTGCTTTCTGCTGCGGGGCTCCCTGGAGAGCACCCTGGCTTACGGGCTCAAGAATGGGATGAAATACTATCGGGACACGGACACCCCAGGCAGATGCTTCATGAAAAAGACCATCGACATGCTTCAAATCGAGTTCAGGTGCTGCGGCAACAACGGCTTCCGGGACTGGTTCGAGATCCAGTGGATCAGTAATCGCTACCTGGACTTTTCCTCCAAGGAGGTCAAAGAGTGAGTAGCCACCACTCCAGGGAGGGAGACCCAGGTGTTCGATTTCTCCCAGCCTGCCCAGCGTGTTTTCCCCTCTGTTGGGTATAGAATCAGTTGTGGGGGGTGGGGGTGTTAGGCTGGACCATGTGAAATTGCCAGCGGCCTGGGCCCTCTGACCCTCAACAATGGCAACTTCATCTGGTTCAACCTCACATCTGGCTGAGGCAGGGACAGGTGTGTAGTGAAATAAAGATGCTTAGTTGGATCGGAGTTACCAGGAGGAGAGCCATAGTGTGGGGCACTTCATACAGTAAGAATGGGGTCTTCAGAGCTCGCTCAGACTCAGATGTTTCTTAGTACTTATCTTGTTCCATCACATTTTCTGGTTTGCGTCTTGGTTTTTGGCGCTTTCAACACTTGAAAAGGCCAAAGGTGTTTGCAATGAGTCCGTCCTCAGACATGGCAGAATTCAAGGTGAACTATTTCCGGTGGTGTTCAGGGAGGGCAGGGCAGTCAGCTTTGGACTGTATTTTGTTCTCAACTGACTGTGACCTCAGGCAGGCTGCTCAGCCCTGCGGGTCTCTCCCCATCTTTCAAAGGAAGACACTGGAATATGTGATCATAGACTGTCTCCCGGTCTGCCTACGCCTGGTGAACAGCTCATTAAATGCCCGCTTGTTCTGGCTTTCTCTCTCTTCCTTTTTTTTTTTTTTAATTCAGAGTCTTACTATGTAGTTCGGCTACCTGGAAATCCTTATGTAGACTAGGCTGGTCTTGAACTCAGAAAGATCCTTCTATTTCTGCCTTTCAAGTGCTGGGATTAAAGGCATGTGCCACCATGCCCAGTGAATTTTATCTGTGTGTGTGTGTGTGTGTGTGTGTGTGTGTGTGTGTGTGTGTGTGTGTGTGCAGTGTGGCACACTGTGTGTGCAGAGGGCAGGGGCAGCTTTAGGGTCTTCCTTTCCGCTGTGGGCCTGGCAGTCACACTCAGGTTGTCAGGCAAGCATGGTGAGCACTTCTATCCACAGAGCTGTTTTACTGACATAGCACAACTAAGTGTTTCCAAAGCATTCCTGGCCTGTGTGAAAGTGAAGTCCCGTGGAGGGGAGGTGCTGGTGGGAAGGAGCCTTGGCCTCAGCTCTGGCTGCTCTTCCCCATAGATGCTCTCTGGGGTGGGGGCATGCTCTACACTCCCTGGCTGACATTCCAGGGTGGTGGCTCACCCGGCTGCTTTTTCCTCTGAGTAACTCTGGTGAATCTCACCGGTGTTGAACTGGCAGGCACCCAGCGGCAGGAACTGCTTGAAGCCCAGCGGTTCCTGGACCACTGACATCTTAGTTTAGAGGAGACTTTGCTCCTCAGCTGGAAGGAGCCCCAGTGAAGGTCACTGCTGGGATGTCATCTTCTCTGTGGAAGGAGATTACAGCCACAAATCCCCAGCCAAGGAGAGGATTGTGACTAGCTCTGCCCTTCCTAGATGACAGGTCTGTGGGGACAGGATAGGAGGGCCGGATTTGCATAAGCCACCTCAGCAGGATGTACGCCGGGGACACGCAGAACTCTCGGGAGTATGGGAGGCCAATTCTAACGTGGACTCTCCGTGGAAAGCTTTTCTTTTTTCTCCTTTTCAAATTGACTGAATGATTCACATGCGTGTAATGTGTTTTGAGCAGGTCTACCCCACCCTGCTGTGACCGAAATCCCCACCATGATTTCCTCACAGTTTCATGTTCTCTCTCTCTCTCTCTCTCTCTCTCTCTCTCTCTCTCTCTCTCTCTCTCTCTCGTTAAGGCTATCAGTGTGTACATGGGTGTCTGGCCATCTACTGGAGTATGGATAGTCTCTCAGGGCCCACATCCCTGAGGAACACTGACTCCCTCCCCCAGCAGCCATCCATTGCTAATAGCTCCTCAGAAGCTGGAATTCCTGACCACTCCCCCATCCACGCTGGGACTTTTTCTAGCTTGATTTTGTGCATGTGGTCAACATCTGGCTATCATTTCATATGTTTAACTGCCCTGCTGTGTCTGGAAAGCACCGTTTATCTGCAAGGGTGCATTGGCTTGGGCACTCTGCGCCCAATTCCCCCCGAGATGGTGCCTGAGCATCGGAAGGAGGGCCGTGATACCGACCCGTTTAGGGCTGAGCAGTCTCGGATTCTCTGTGCGCTGACCAGTTGTGAGCCTCTGTTACTCACCAACTACTGTGAAAAGAGGCATCTCTGGTGGAGGATGACAGCGCTTATATATGAGTTTACTAAGTCCTTAGTTGGTTTACTACTATGTCCATTCAGTAGAATTGCAGGAAGTCCTCCTCCGGGCGACCTTTGCTATCCCCACGTTGTGATGAGGGCCATCATAATGCAGGGCCTTGGGCATGCTGGAGAGTGCTTTCCCACTGACCCACCTTCTCAACGCCTGCCCATCTGCCTTGTTTCCTCCCTTCCTCCCTTCCCTTTCTTCCTTCTCTCCGTCCTTTCCCATAGGAGGCAGCTGCTGTCCCTTTCAGCCCCCCCCCCCCCCCCAGTCCTCTCTGTCAGGCTCTTCTCTTCCCCAGAGACTCAGCTTTGAAGAGTAATAGAAGAGTTCCTCTGGAATTTCAAATTCCTTCTGCTCTGAGAGTGGAGATATGACCCAGGTCACTCTACTCTAGTTGTCCAGCAGACCCAAACTTCCCAGCAGACATTTGACTCGATCAGAACTACTTCAGTGGGGCTGGCAAGGTAGCCCAGTGGGCAGAAGTACGTGCTGCCAAGCCTGATGACTTGACTTTGGTGCCACATGGTGAGAGAACCCAACAAGTGTCCCTGACACACAAGTGCTGCGGTGTGCTTTCACCCCACCACAACAAACAGTATGATTAAAAATTTACCTCTGTGGCTGGGCAGTGGTGGTGCACGCCTTTAATCCCAGCGCTCGGGAGGCAGAGGCAGGCGGATCTCTGTGAGTGCAAGGCCAGCCTGGGCTACAGAGTGAGTTCCAGGACAGGCATCAAAACTACACAGAAACCCTGTCTCGAAAAACAAACAAACAAAAAACCACAAACAAACAAACAAACAAACAAAACTTTACCTGTGTGTACCATACCAACTTGCTGGGATGCAAATGCAATTATCTTTTTTTTTTTTCCTCATGACAGGGTTTCTCTGTGACCTAGCTGTCCTGGAATTCTCTTCGTAGACTAGGCTAGAAACAGGAAGGCTCACAGAGATCTTCCTGTTTCTGCCTCCCGAGTGCTGAGATTATAGGTGTGTGCCACCATGCCTGGCTGGATTCAATTATCTTAATTCATTGTCCTAGAGAAAAATTTCACTGTTGTACACACACAAAATAAGATTGACAATACTGAGGTATGAAAACAGAAAAAGAGCAGGCCATGGTGCTGCACACCTTTAATCCCAGCACTCGGGAGGCAGAGGCAGGTGGATTTCTCTGAGTTCAAGGCCAGCCTGGGCTACAGATCTAGTTTTAGGACAGCCAGGGCTACACAGAGAAACCCAGTCTCAAAAAACCAAATAAATAATTAAAAAACATAGAAAAAGAAATTCAAGACAGATTCTCATCCATAATTGACAGGTGGCGTTACATTTTCTACATTTTAGTCCAGTAATGCTCACATTTTCTTTTCTGTTTTTCTTTTTCTTTTTCTTTTTTTTTCTTTTTTGATTTTTTTGAGACAGGGTTCTTCTGTGTAACAGCTCTGGTTGTCCTGGAAAGGGAGGTGGGGCACGTGACTATCCACAAAAAGCTTTAAAAAGAAATTTAAAATAACATGCATTCATTTATTTTGTGTGGGGGTGTGGAGGGTGCACGTGCCACAGTGTGTAGAGGTCAGAGGACAACTTGAATCTCAGTGCTTCTACGTCAGTGCCCCAGGGAGGAAAGAGGGAGCCCCATAACCAGAACTGCCCCCCAGCTCCCCACCCTTACTTCTGCAGGCTGTCCTGAAGGCTGTGTAACTGCCTCACCATCCCTCCTCAGCTGGGGGTCTAGGAAGAGGGACATACTCTGCTGTCCCCATCTGAGGTCTGCAGACGGGGGGCGCCAAGCCCGTGAATGACCCCAGTTCTCAGGAACACAGATGTGTCCCCACAGGGTTTCTTTGATCTCCTTTTAGGGCCCTGTCTCTTTCATCAGACCAGGGTGTTGGGTCCCGGAGGAGGAACCCAGTTTAGCACAGGGGAGGAAGGGCCAAGCTCAAGATGGCACTTCCCTGGGACCTCTTGGCACACAACTCTGCCCCCTGTCTGGAGTACCACCTTGTTTATTTAGGGCCTGCCCTCTTTCCAACCACAGATTAGGGCCCTACTCGCCCCCTAAGACATAGGCAGGTGGCACAGAGCTCCTTAGGTGGTGAGCTGGCTATTTATATCGGAGTATTTCCCAGGCTATAAAAGTACTCTGCTTGGGGGGGTGGGTCACTGGGTCTTGTAATGTCTTAAGGTAAAGCCTGTGTTCTAGGCTACCCCTCACAGCCAAGCTACATCTAGCCTTGTCAAGGCATCCTGCAGACTCTTCTGGAAAACATGTAATTTGGCAGGTGAATTGATAAGTGAGTGGAGAGGGTTATAGCATCTGGTACATGATGACTTAACCCTACTCAGTGTGCAGAGGGACAGGTGGGGGATGGGGGCCATTGCCTTGACCTCTGAGCTTTGGTAGCCTACCTAAAAAGTGAGAATCTAGGAAGCTATGGCGGAGAGTTGATCCAGGGGGCTGCTCCGGGCATGGGGTCTACAGCAAGGGCTTAGCAACATTGCTGGCTTCCAACCACTTCCTCCCTTCTCTCTGCTTAGCTTAGTTTTTCGATTTCTTCCCTAAGTAAGCCAGGTATAGTTCACTTCAGGCGGCGAGGAGCTGCATAAGGAAGGGAGTATGTTGTCAAGGAGCCCCAGTGGGAGGGAGACACGGTCACGTCCTGTGGAGACCAGTAGGGTGTCTCGATCACCGAAGTTTAGGAAGGGGCAGTGGAGAGTGGGGACACTCAGGAGCCTCTGCTGGCACCGACCCTGTGACTGCTGACCTGACTCTCACTCCAGACTCACTTGTGGCGTGTATGAAGCAGGTGTGCAGGCTTTAGTTCAGCTTGGGGACATCTGGGGTGGTGTGGGGTGGTTGGTGGTGCTAGGCAGTGGTTACTGAGATACCAAATGAGTAGAGGATCACATTTTCTCTCGTATTTAAGTCTCCCCAAGTAGAAGGCCTGCAGAAGCGGGGCTGGGAGGGAACTCAGATGCAGGATGCGTACCTAGCATGGTAGAAGCCTTGGGTTGCGTCCCTGGCTCTACATAAACTGGATGTGGTGGTGCATGCCTGCAGTCTTAGCACACAGGAGGATCAGAAGCGCATCCTCATCTCACCCTCAGCTCCATAAGGAGTTCAAGGCCAGCCATAGCGGCCTCTGCTCCTGAGAAGTGGGTGGATTCCAAGGCATAGGGAAGTCAGTGGGTAACTGCTGTGGGCTGTCTTCAATTACCTGTGTGGTTTTAGATTGAGACACTGCCCTGCCCAGAGTCCCACTTCCTCCTCTCTGGAACAGTCTGGTGGTTTCCAAGGTCCTTTTCAAAGGCCTTGGGTGGAGAGAAGCCAACATCTTTTTTTTTTTTAATTATTATTTATAACTGCTCGGCCATTAGCTCAGGCTTATTACTGACATGTTAAATTAACCCATTTCTATAAATCTATACTTTGCTGCCACGAGGCTCGTGGCTAACCAGTACCTTTACATCTTGCTTCTCATGGCAGCGGCTGGCAGTGAAGCCGACATCTTCTGAAGGCTGAGGGAACACTGTGTTACTTGTATTACCTGTGAGGGCTCCAGTCACCTCACACAGGCCCAGGAAGGCCCAGCCTCACAGATAACAAGTGGCACCGAGATCTGTTCTCTGCCATACCCACACTGTCCCTGGGGATACTAGCAATGGCTTCAGAGGATGTATGTGCCGGGAGAGAGGGCTCAGGGGACAGCCTGCGAGTCAGAAGCAGGACCAACAGCACCTGAGTGTGGACGCCTCAGCTGTGAGTAAAGCCAGTGAGGGTCCTGGGTGCTTGGAAGGAGGAATCCTCTCAGAGACTCAATTCTGCTCAGTGTGCCCAGGGCCACTGGTCTCCAGGAGGGAAGGGGTGGAGAGATGGGGGCCTCTGCTGCCTCAGCCTTAGGACTACCGGTCAGACTCTCAGACATCCTTGCAGTGTACTTGAGGCAGGTTTGTAGGCTTCACCCCAGCTCAGGGACACCTGAAGGCCCTGCCCACACCCCTCCAACCTGCCTTCCTGCCCCACCGAGGGCACTCCCACCAGCACTGACCCAGTGCCAAGCTCCAGGGGCTCGGCAGAAGCCCAGCAAGGTTTGGCTCATGCTGTCCATGCCCAACGGCGTCATCAGGCAGGTGGCTCCAGTGGCAGCCCAGGGTTATCAGCCCTCGCCTCCTCCAGGGCAGCGAGCCTGCATATGCCTGCCTCAGAGAGGATCCTGCCCTGCAGCTACCTCAAAGGCCCAGCACTACAGCCTCGAACTCACAGGTGGCCATGTCCCTGTGATGTCCCCTGGTCCCTTCATTTCCTAACCTGATGAAGGCTTCTCGGGTACTCGGAACGGCTCTTGCTCGGCCACTGCCCAGTGAGACATCCTTTGTGCACTTGGTATAATCCTCATGTCAGCCCCATGTTACAGCTGAGGAAACTGAGGTAGGCCAGGATTAAGGAATTTGTCTGAAGGGATGAAGCTGGACTGTGCAGAGCAGGAGTCAACTCCAGTGGTCCCCTCGGCCCCCGGCCTCATGTCCACGCCACCTAGTTCCACCTATTCTTCAGTGTACCCTGCCCATGAGTAGATGTCAGCACTGAAGGACACGTGGAAGTATGTCACAGCCCAGGCCACCATGTGCAGCCTCCCAAAGCCCCAGTCCTGATGGGTGGCAAGCAGCAGGCAGCGCACAGAAACGACCCCATGGTTGATCCGCAGCAAAGCGTGCTCAGTTTCCCTTGGAAAGAGAAAATGTAAATTCAGATAGGTTGAGGGGCCAAGTGAGATGGCTTAGTGGAGGGGCATGGGTGGGGGTGGGTGGGCAGGGATGATGATGGGAGAAACCAGGTTGTCCTCTGACCTCTGCACGGTGCCGTGATACATGTGTGTGTACACAAATAAATGTAAGAGAACCATATCCTCTCAAGTAAGACAAGATGAATTCCCTTAAAACAAAGGAAAACCCAAGGTACTATCTCTCTCTTTTTTTTTTGTTTTTTGGAACTGAGGATCGAACCCAGGGCCTTGTGTTTGCTAGGCAAGCGCTTTACCACTGAGCTAAATCCCCAGCCAGCCCTGTACTATCCCTTATCTACTAGGTCTACAGAGATCAAAGCTTGGACTGGTGTGGGTGTGAGTGTATGTGTGGGTGTGGTGTGGGTGTGGCTGGGAGATGCAGGTTGTGTCTCCCAAGGCTGGCTGGACATGCGACAGCCTCTCAGGTGAGAATGATGGGGGGGGGGCAGGCTCACCCACAGACACACGGCACTTCTTCTGTAGATTTGACGTCTGTATGCCACACGAACAAGTCTGTGGACGTGCGGTCCATCCCCACATCAGGCTGCCACAGACGTAGCTCACTGAAACAACAAACAAACAAAATCCAGGACACTCTCCATTGGCGGATGCGGAAAGACCTCTAAGGCTTAAGGCTAGTATGTAAGGCTACCTTGTGGGTTTTTCAGTTTTTAAAAACAATTATTTATTATTATCATTGGAGCGTGTGTGTGTGTGTGTGTGTGTGTGTGTGTGTGTGTGTGTGTGTACAGATGTGCATATTCTGCACCTTGCTTGCAGAGGTCAGAAGACAGAGTGTGGAAGAGGGTTCCCTCCTCCTGCTGTGAAGTCCTAGTGAGCAGACTCAGGCCATCAAGTTTGGCAATCCCCTTTACCCACTGAGCCATCTTGCCTCTACATGGGCTCTTACCAATGATGGTGCTAAGGCAGGCTTGGTTTATTTTAGACGTGTGTATGAGGGTGCATGGGCACATGTGTATGTGTACACAAGGATGCATGGGTGTGTGGAGGGCCGAGGATGACCTTAGGTGTCCTCAGGTGCTGGCCAAGCAGGCTACACTGGCTAGCCAGTGACTTCCAGGAACGCGTCTGTCTGGTTCCCTAAAGCCCAAGCCATCACGTCAGCAGATGAAATTCGGGTCCTTTCACCTGCATGGTCAAGCACGTCGTCAGTTTGAGTTGTCTCTAGCTTTTATTTATGTATTTATAAGACAGGGTCTTATGTGATATGTGTATTTATGTATTTATGTATTATTATTTATGTATTTATAAGACAGGGTCTTATGTGATCTGAGCTGGGCTTGAACGCACTGTGTAGCTGAGGACGACCTTAAACTCCCGATGTCTTGCCTGCACCTCCCAAGGGCTGGGACTACAGAGTGCTCCACCAGGCCCAGCCAAGTCCACACATTTTGGGGGAGGGGGGCTTTTTTGAGACAGGGTTTCTCTGTGTAGCTCTGACTGTTCTGGAACTCGCTTTGTGGACCAGGCTGGCCTTGAACTCATAGAGATCCACCTGCCTCTGCCTCCTGAGTGCTGAGATTAAAGGTGTGTTAAATGTACTGTTGGAAGGATTTTGTCACCTGGTCAGGTAGCCTGTACAGTCTGTGGGCGTGGGGAGGCCTTTTCACTGTAAAGATTCCAAGGCACAGTATACCCTAAAGAATCAAACTAATAGATATGAAGAGTCCTGTGAGCCTTGCCTGGTGGTTTAGGGAGCCAAGGATACAGCTTTGTCTTTCAAAGCGAGTAGGGAGGCTCCCCTGCTGTGAGTTTACAGAGCTGAGGTCTGTGCCCATCCCCAGCCCCTTGCACAGGCCCTGGGCCAGAGCAGGCCTTCCAGAAACATCTTTCTAGAAAGGGCCTTGGTCCTGAGTGACCTGTGATGGGGAGAGATGGTTGGTGAACGGGTGAGGGGTTACATTCTATCATCAGCAGCAGCCACCTTCATCCCCGGTCCTTAATTCCTACTGGCCTGGTGTGGTTCCAAGAAGTTCCTGCAAGCTGGAGGCCTGCCTGGCAACATAGGGTGGTTGGGTGAATTTCTGTGTTCTCTGTTCACTTTGCCTTCTGCCTCCACCTTCTAGAACATTCACTCCAGGAAGGCAGGGGTAGGGTCAGTGCTCACTGCTCTGTCTGTAGTTCCTAGTGCAGAGGCTGGCACGTGGTGGGTGTTCGTGGGCAGTGCGTGAAAGAAAATGCAGTGAGATGTCCCAGAAACCTGAACCAGGCTCTTTCTCTTCCAGCCGGATCAAGAGCAACGTGGATGGGCGGTACCTGGTGGATGGAGTCCCTTTCAGCTGCTGCAACCCCAGCTCGCCACGGCCCTGCATCCAGTACCAGCTCACCAACAACTCGGCACATTACAGCTACGACCACCAGACCGAGGAGCTGAACCTCTGGCTGCGGGGCTGCAGGGCCGCCCTGCTGAATTACTATAGCAGCCTCATGAACTCCATGGGTGTGGTCACACTCCTGGTCTGGCTCTTTGAGGTAGGTCCACAGAGGACAGGGAGAGGGAGCCTGCCTGACGACCTGGGGAGCAGACCTGCAGGGTCTCAAGTAGTTCGGGCTGGCTTTGAACTTGATACATAGCCAAAGCTAACCCTGAATTCCTTACTCTCCTGGCACTGCCTCCCAAGTGGGAGGCAACATGTGTCTGTCGTTATGCCCGACTTCTTTTTATTGTTGGGACAGAGTCTCACTATGTTGCCCATGCTGGCCTTGAATTTACTATCCCCTGCCTCAGCCTCCCCCTAAAAACTGGGTCCATAGTGTGTACCACCAGGCCTGGCATCATTGTTTACAAAAATATTTAGGTAAAAATCAACATAAAATAACGTTTTCTTCTTCTTTATTTTCTTTTTGAGATAAGGTCTTTCTATATGTAGCCCTGGCTGCCCTGCAACTCTCCATGTAGACCAGGCTGGCCTCAAACTCACAGAGATCTGCCTGCTCCTGCCTCCTGAGTGCTGGGATTAAAGACATTTGCATTTACAGCCTGTAAAAATCAAGCCATTTAGTGTATTCACTGTAGCACCTATCCACCACCTCAATCTAGTTCTAAAACATTTCCTAGGCCCCCCAAGAAAATGCTCAGCTCCCCCATCTGTACTCTGTCTGTGGATTTACCTACTCTGGACACTTAGTGTACGTGGGCCCTTGCACTGTGCAACCTTTTACATTTAGCTTTTCACTTAGCCCGACTTGGGGGTTCCCCTTGTGTTTCCACTTCCTGTTTCTAAGGCCTTGGATGGTCGTATCAACTGTTACATGGGGACAGCAGCATTACCTCTGGGGACTACTGGGACCTTCAGTCGATCGGGTCAGTCAGTGTTAACACGGTCATCTAACCACCAGTGGGTACCTCATGTCATCTGCTAGGCTAAGCTCCTCTTTCTGAAGCTCTGGAGCTTGGAACTCAGCACCCCACCCCACCCCCATCCTCTTGTCCAGTTCATCCTTGGAAGGGAATTCTCAAACAGCTGGTGCTGGGAGCTGTTCTAGGTGCTGAATGGGCCACAAGCTACTCTGGGTGACTTGGGATGCCTGCATGGAGCAATTCTTGCAGCAGAAAACCCAGGCTCCGAAATCAAAATGTATCAAGACAGAAACATTAGCTGAGGCAGTTTCTCTCTATCAGAGAAGGTTCCTTGAATCTCTCCTGTAGTCCATAGATGTGGACAGGGAGTATCTACATAGGCCTTCTCAGCCACCACGGGAAACGACGTCGTGGCTGGACCACATGCGAAGGCTTTTGGTGTTGAGCCACTTACTTGCTGATGACACCTTGAGGTAGTCTTGGGAATGAGTGGCATGAGGGGAGAGCTTACCACCAGGTGGACAGAGTCACCACCGTCTAAAACCAATGACAAGACGTTTGTCCTTGACGACTCCAGTGGAGTACCTGGACTCCTCCCAGATCCTCACGGGGACCAGAACAGGGAGTCTGAACACCCCAACTCGCAGTGAGCAGAGCTGCTGTAGACACTGGGCTGCCGGAGCTGCTGGCAGCCCAGTGACCTTGGCCTCCACCTCTTGTGCATCCCAGTCCAGTCAGGAGATGATCAAACATAGGAACTAAAGGACAGATGCAGAGTCCTCGGTGCAGCAGATTTCCTTCAGGAGCAGGTCACTGTTTCCGCTGTAAAACGTGCTAGGAAACTTTCAACAGACAACACCACCTAAGATTGGCCAGTCCCTATCACAGATACTCCTACACTCACATTCTCCTCAGTGTGCCCATTGCAGATGTTTGGGGAGGTGCCACCAACACCCTGTGTGCTCTGGGGCTGGGGTGCTGGATGAACCAGATGTGTGGGGGTCGGGGGGGGGGACAGTCCTCCTCCTGGAGAGCTGCACAGGGAACTTGAATCTGCATAGATTGAGTAGTGAATGGAGTACAAAAGGGAAGAAAAACGGTACCTACCCGTCACCAGTCAGCTGACACACACAGGGTCCCACGCCATCCACAGGAGGTGGCTGCCATCTCCTCTGAAATCTGGAAGCCATTGTCTTCTAGCCTCACAGGCACATAAGTACAGGCTGGGATGCCAATCCAGGCACTTTGGGCACCAGAGTCTGCCACAGTGGATGCGAGTGCAGAAATTCGAGCAGCTGGTGACAAGCACCCATTTGTCACCACCTGAATAAGAGGATAGGAGATCACCCCACACCATGGGGATGGTAGACGAGGAGATGGCTTTTCATTTGTTCAGATTTATTTTACGTGTGTGTTCTGTCTGCATGCATGTATGTGCATCATGTGCATGCCTAGTTCCAGTGGAGGTCAGAAGAAGGGGTCAGATCCCCTGAAACTGGAGGTACAGATGGTTGTGAGCCACCCTGTGGGGACTGGGAACTGAACCTGGGTCCTCTGCAAGAGCAAGTGCTCCTGACTGTTGAGTCATCTTCCAGCCCCGGAAATGACTTCTTTTGCTTGTTTGCTTTTTTGAGACAGGATCTCTACACAGTCCTGGCTGTTCTGGAGCTCCTTGGTAGACCAGGCTGGCTGTGAACTCACAGAGATCCTTCTGCCTCTGCCTCCCGAGTGCTGGGATTAAGGGCGTGAACCACTGAGCCTGACCTGGGAGTGACTTTTTCAAAAATCGTATTTGTTTTGTGTGTGTGTGTGTGTGTGTGTGTGTGTGCGCGCGCGCATATGTGTGTCATGGCACACTTGTGGAAGTCAGAGGACAACCTGTGGCCGTCAGTCATCTCCCTTCCCTATGGGGAATCAACCTCAGGTCGACTCTTGGCAGCAAATCTCTCCCTGTCAAGCCATCTTGCCAGCCCAAGAGGTGACTGGGACCTTTATCCAGTGAAGCTGCTAACATTCTTATGGGCCAAGAAACACACCCTGAAAGCGTCGGAGGGCATGGAGTAAAGGGCTGGTGTGTCCAGCAAGGTGGGAGGCAGGAAGAAGCGGTGGGAGGTGGTGGGGGCGATGGGGGTGGGGGAGAGGGGCGGAGGCAGGGCACTCACTCAGGGTTGGCTCTGGATTAACAGAGAACCATGATGACCTGGGCAAAGAATGTTACATGTTCTAAACAGCTGGGGGTGGGGTGGGGGGGGGATGGGGGCTGGAGAGGGAGGCCAGGTGGGATGGGTCAGGCCTTCACCAACGCAGGCTTGCAGGGCCACCATCAACCATCAGCTTAGGCTCCACATCCGGGGAGCTGTTCATTGCGTTTTCCTCACGGCCCAGCTCCTGGCGATGCTCCATGTCTGCTCTAAGTCTCCGCTCTCGCCACCAGGTGAGCATCACCGCTGGACTCCGATACCTGCACACAGCGCTGGAGAGCGTGTCCGACCCTGAGGACCCCGAGTGTGAGAGTGAGGGCTGGCTGCTGGAGAAGAGCGTGTCGGAGACCTGGAAGGCCTTTCTGGAGAGCTTCAAGAAGCTAGGCAAGGGTAATCAGGTGGAGGCCGAGGGCGCCGACGCAGGCCAGGCCCCAGAGGCTGGCTGATGGCCTGGGGCCTGTCCCCTCCACCACACTTAGCGGACTCCAGGAAATGTGGATACCCCCTTGTCCAGCTGAAAGTCCGAATTTCCCAAGAAAGCTGGGCACCTGCTGACTCTCCTTGACCGTGGGCCTTGAAGTTCAAGGGTCCTTAGAGCATGTGGCAAACATTTGTGAAATGGCTGCCACCAAATGTGAGTGAATGAACCCTTCCAGTGGATGTCCAGTCTCGCAGGGGCCGTCCGTCCGAGTGTGAGTCCAGCTCTCCCACAGGTGACTGGCCACCCCAAGGCCCCTCCCCGGTAGTGCCCGCCTCTTTTAAGTTCTGCCTCCAAACCATCATTGATACATAAACACAAGGGTGAAAAAACCCAAGGGCCACGTTGTCTTTTCTTTCATGACAGGATTAACAAGCTGGTCATCGTTTCCTTAATGTTAGAAAGCGGGAGAGGGGCGGCTATATTTTTATAAGGGCAATGGAGTCCTCCAGAGGGTTACCTCCACATAGGAATTCACAGACGTGAAGAGGTGAGGACTTTCCTTTACCAAAAGTGATTGTCCCCATCCCTACCCCTCAGTCACTTACTCCAGCTTGAACCAAGGGCTGGCATGTCCCAGCATCCCTTCCGCTCACAAAGTGCTGGGTGAGCTGCTGTCTGTGGTTTGTCTGAGAAAGAACAGGGTGAGCTTGCTGTCCTTCTGTGGACGAGCAGCGACACCCAGACAAGAGGCTACCCCTTGGGGACCAGGCCTTACCTCCTGGTGGGCTGGGAACATGGGCTCCGGCGGCCATGACAGTCCTTGTGGACTGCACATGAGGAGGCCAGAGCCTCTGGGAACTTCTGTTTCCCCTCCCGCAAGCCCTGTGGGAATGCTTCTGTATCAAGGAAGACTCTTGAAGACAGGCTTTCTTTCCAAACCAGCATGTTTGGGAAATTGTCATTTCTTTTGGGAAAGACAGGCAAGCTCTCCGGGTAAGCAAAGCACGGTTTTGCTGGTGCCCAGGCTGCGGGTGCCAAGATTGCCACAGGGCCCTGCCGCTGCAGGAGTGCACCGTGTGGCTCGAACCTCTCGGGGACCCGATCACAGATGCTGATACCCAACACATCTTGGCTCCGGTGCTGTCCTCTGAGTCTCTCAGAGCAAAGGGCGGCCCAGAGGCTGAGGCAGGCACTTGTGGTGAGGACCCTGAGTTTCCCACCATCCCTCGGGAGGGCTGAGAACCCACTGTGAAAGCTACTTTAGATCACATGTCACTATGCTGTCGACAGTCATATTGAGATATTAAAAGCTATATTGTATGAAAATCACTTCTGTGAAGTGACTGTCTCAGTCCGTTCAACAGCACATATCACAGGACGTCCAGTTCCGGCCAGTACCTTGTTACACGGGCAGAATCAGGCCTGGCAGTGCATACCTATGATCCTAGCATCTGGGAGGTGGAGGCCAGAGGATCAGGAGTTTAATGTCATCTTCTTCGTCTTTTTTTTTTTTTTTTGGTTTTTCGAGACAGGGTTTCTCTGTGTAGTTTTGGTCCCTGTCCTGGATCTCACTCTGTAGACCAGGCTGGCCTCGAACTCACAGAGATCCACCTGCCTCTGCCTCCCAAGTGCTGGGATTAAAGACGTGCGCCACCACCGCCCGGCTCAACGTCATCTTCTACTACAAAGTAAATTCCAAGGCTAGCCTGGGCTACATTAGACTGTCTTATAACTAGGGGAGGGGGAGGGAGGCTAGAGGGATTGCCTCAGTGATTAAGAGCGCCTGCTGTTCTTCCAGGGGACACATGTTCGGTTCTCTCACCCATAGGTATATATCACAACCTCTTTAAATCCAGCTCCAGGAGATCTGGTGACTTTTTCTGGCCTCCATGAACACCTATACACATGGCACCCTCCCACAGATACATAAGTAATAACTTAAAAAAAATCAAGTCTTAGCCGGACAGTGGTGGTGCACGCCGTTAATCCCAGCACTCAAGGCAGAGGCAGGTGGATTTCTGAGTTTAAGCCAGCCTGGTCTACAACGTGAGTTTCAGGAAAGCCAGGACTTTACAGAGAACTGCCCCCACAAAAAAGTCTTTTTTTTTTTTTTTTCCATGCTGGATTTCTAAAAAAAAAAAAAAGGTAAGTCTCCTTGGGGGCCAGGTTATGGGTGGGTATGGTTTGGAGAAGACAGGATTAATTGCTTTGGAAACAGTCAGAGACGGCCTGATAGTTGTCAGGAAAACCTAGCCCATTCCTTTTGGTGCCCAGTACTACTCTGGTACCAGGCTCCTCAAGCTCGTGTGAACTCACTAATAGGTGTGTAAGCCCAGACTCAGGCAGGGTCACTGGTAAAGACAGAACCAGCCTTGTGTGCTCTGGGTGAGGGCTTTTAGCAGAGTCACATCCCAACCCAGACTTCTGTTTGAGACTGGATCCCTGTAGCCCAAGTTGGTCTGGAACTTGCTATGTAGACCAGGCTAGCCTCAAACTCAGCCTGTGTAATCCTGATTGGCTTAGAATTTTCTACACAGACCAGACTAGCCTTGAATTCACAGAGATCTGCCAGCCTCTGGCTCCTGAGTGTTGAGATCCAAGGCGTGCATCACTATTGTTTTGACCCAGGCTTCGATTTTCAAAACATTCTCAAGTGAAGTAACAGTTGGTGACTTCCGCGCTGAACACCCAGAGAGGCAGGAATTCTGGGCGTTTGTAGTCTCAGCTCAAGCAAGAACCCACAACTCCCTTTGGCATGCTTTAGGCTCAAGACTAAGCCACCAACAAATAAACCCCAAGTAACCTCAATATGGGCTAATAGGATTAGCTGGCTCCTCTCCCGCCCTCATCACCTGGGCACCTGTTATGCTAGCCCAGCAGGTTTGCAGCTTAGCTGGAACAATTATGGCCTCTCACCCACAGTGTGAGGCATTCTGGGTGTGTCAGCGGCAGAGTTCTATCTGGGGAAGGTATGAAGTCCACGAGAGGGTCTGATGGAGGATGCCTTCCCACTTCTCAGTGGACATGGATTGGCTGCAGAGGGGACAGCATGATGGAATGAACTCGCAGCCATTCACTCAAGGAAATAAAAACCTGCGTCCACAGGAGTGTTTGTAAGCACAGGGTGGTCCCCAACAATCACCCAAGGCCATTCATTTGGTGACTGCATTAACATCTGCAGAATGGAATGCCACCAGCACCCAGAGGCATGTGTGACTCAAAATGCACTCTTCCTCTTAATACTTCTATTTTAGAAACCGTAGCTCATATATTCCAGGCCTCAAACTGTGTACCTCAGATGACCTTGAACTCCTGATCTTCCCGCCCAGGTGCTGGGGTTGTAGGTGTTACACACCACAGCAGTTTTTGTGGCGTTTGGGATGGGACCCAGCACTTCATGCATGCTAGGTACTCACCAAGCTATGTTCTCCAGCTTTAAGATGTACTGGTAGGCAAAGCAGCAGGTGGGGGAGGCACCCGATGTGATTCCACTCACCTAACGTTCTGGAAGGGGTGTAGCAAGGGGAGTGAGCCAGCATTCAGGGCAGCGAGAGGAGATGAGGGGCATGAAGGGATATTCTGAGGAGACAGGATTGTTCTAATTCTCAACATGTGGTGGTTGTTAAACAACTGTGCGCATTTGTCAAAATGTGAAAACAACCCTGTACTCTAGAAAGGGTCAATCTTACTGTTTGTAAAGTGTATGTCAGTAGATAGAGGAGTATATGCCTGTAGATAGGGGATAGAGTTGCTGGGCAGTGGTGACCCCTATCTTTAATCTCAGCACTTGGTGGCCAGAGGCAGGTCTATCAGTGTGAGTTCGAGGACAGCCTGGTCTCTGCAGACCAGTTCCAGGGACAGCTCAGGCTACACAGAGAAACCAGTAGCCCGTGAGAAGCAGCCTGGCCTGGGGCAAGAGTCAACTGGAGGCGGCATTAATGACCAGGTGGGAAGCCCAATGTAGAGAGCCAGATGCTGGACAGTGTCCCAGTGGAGGGCCAGATGTTGGACAGTGCCCTAGTCAGAGGACTCTGAGAACAGACCTCTGAGGAGTGAGTTCCCTTCTTGCACACATCCCAAGCACCCAGTGTCTGCTGAGTGTAAGAACACGGACCTGCAGAGAAGCAAGCAGACCAACAAGAGCTTACACACGGGAAGAGTCCCACGCAGACCTGCTTCCTATTGAGCTGAGGTCTGAAACCGCCCTGGAGAGTTCTAGCTCAAAGACACGCAGGAAACCTAATCGGCTGAGATAATGTCCACGCTTCCCAGAAAGGTCAGTATGGCTTGGCCAGTGGCCATACTGACACTAATAGTTTAAGCCTCTTAAATTTTAGGCTAATATCAATGTCCCACTTTTGCAGAAGGTGACATGGGGTGTGTGTGTGTGAAAGCAGAGAAGATGGAGGTAACTGAAGGAATGTCAACACCTAAAGCCTTTATTTAATCTTTAAACTTTTTACATATGATACATTTCAAATTTTACAAGTTGTCCACAGATATTAAAATTATAGCCAATTTATTAAACATATGATTTTCCCTGATATGGAAAGCATGTTATATAAACATTTCTACAACAACAAAAAAAAAAAAAAACATGCGAAACAAACAAAAGTCAGATGTGTTGACAGGGACGGGAAACCATCTTAACATTGCCTCACGGAGAGTACAGGCTGCAGATCTGTGGGAATCCACTGCCCCGATGCTGACATTCTCAGGAGTGAAATGCAGGGCTATTCTCTGCTAATTCCAGGGTCCTGAGAGTCAGTCCTGAACCCGGAAGTGTCAGGATGACCTTGAAGATGTCTGTAGCCTACGTAGATGAAACAAGCTTGTGCTCATGATTTTTTTCCCCTTTGGGTTGGCACCAGGATTGAACCCAGGACCTTACTCACGCTAGGCAAGCGCTCTAGCACGAAGCTCATGCCCAGAGAGGTCTCATAATTTCAAATTTAAAAATGGTGAATGGAAGGCGAAAGACCAAGAGGAGTCGAACGAACTTCAATCTGAAGAAACTGCGCGCATGTCAAAGGTCAAACATCAGGCATATCCCTCACAGCCCATTCAGACCGTGTCAAGGAAAGGCCAGAGAAAGGGGGAACACAAGATTCTAACTCGGGTCTCCTGTTGCAACCTCTCAGCTCTTGAGCCTGTGCCAAGCAGAAGAGCTACGTGAAGTCCATCCTTCGGAGGGGAGGCGGCTCCTCACATGATCCTGGAGCTGTGCTGGCTGCATTTCGCCTCTGGTCTGAATTTCTGACCCTCCTGGGATACTGTGGCACGGGTGCAGCTGAGTGGAACAGAACTTGGGGTTGCAATTTGAAAGGCTGAGTGAAAAGGTTGTTAGATGGGTTAGAAAAGCCGACAGCCTCTTTCTGTTGGTGTGGCCTCGGCCCACGTGGAGACTGGAGTTCACCCCTTTGTTCAATCTGCGGTCACGGCGTGCATGTGAGCTCTCTGCACGTCTGCCGAGTGAGAAAGGAGGCGTGCTGCGCAGGAGCTGTACCTGCGGCACCCAGGGGCTATGGTTCTAGAAAGGCACCACTCAGAATAATACCTAAAAAGGGCAGAAGCTGTGTGCAGACTGTCTGAGCATGTCCTGAACGGCTGGCAGATGCACAGCAACACGCTAATCCAGGAGATGTGGGGTGGGGCAAGAAACCTCAAAACCCTGGCTCCTCCATTTTGGTTGGTCTGAGACGAGGTCTCAAGTCAGCCAGGCTAGCCTCAGGCTCGTAACATGGTTGAAGCTAGCCTTGAGCTCCTGGTCTCCTGCCTCAGCCTCCCAGGTGCTGGGATTACAGGCTTGTAGCCTTTCACTAAGCTGAGCTCTCACAGGTCTGAGCTCTCACAGGTCTGCTGCCCTCTGGTTGAGGCTGCACATGCTCTCCGTTTACCTCAGAGCAGGAAGTAACTGTCGGAAAAACTAGGAGGTCCTTTCCATTTCAAAAGCCCTTTGAGTAAGCCAAAAGTCCTGACAAAAATAGAGAAAACCAACCATATACCGCTGTGAAAAGCCAGCCGCTCTCCCCCTAGGTTCTCCTGCTCGCATCTCCAGCCTTCTAGGCCATGCAGAGAAGGGAATCCCAGCTTCAAATTCAACTGCTTTGCTCTCCGAGGTGAGGTCCAGTCCCAGAGGTGAACCGCACCTCAGCGCTGAGGCACCAAGGTTGGAAAAGTCATCTTGCTGGGCCCCAGGGCTCCTTTTGGCCTCTGCTGAATGGCCAACAAGTCCAACACAATCAGTGATGTGGAGCGGCTACTGAAGCAGGAGCAAGGCTCCGGGCTAAAAAGGATCTCTGCCCAGGTAACATCTGAGGGATACAGCAATAAAATCTGGTGGAAAATGATTTTCATCAATCCCTGGAGCCAGAAACT